CTTGAGCATCAGAGCTGACATATTAGGCGGAGTTCTCACCAAAAAATCACATTTGTTTGGACGATTTTATTCCCTTTTTTCCCCTTGCCTGGGGTCTCAAAGACTGTCACAGTCAAGGATTCTCTCAAGGAGGGCGGGGCGGTGTGGGGGTCGCTAGGCCGTGAGCGTCAGAGTGTGAGGAACGCTAGGCTCACATGAGGGTCAGCCCGGGCGGGACGCTAGGCCGTGAGGGTCAGCGTGGGCAGGATGTTAGGCCGTGAGCGTCAGCGTGGGCGGGACGCTAGGCCGTGAGGGTCACTGTGCGCGGGACGCTAGGCCGTGAGGGTCAGCGTGGGAGGGACGCTAGGCCGTGAGGGTCAGCATGGGCGGGCCGCTAGGCCGTGAGGGTCAGCGTGGGCGGGCCGCTAGGCCGTGAGGGTCAGCGTGGGCGGGCCGCTAGGCCGTGAGGGTCAGCGTGGGCGGGACGCTAGGCCGTGAGCGTCAGCATGTGAGGAACGCTAGGCTCACATGAGGGTCAGCCCGGGCGGGACGCTAGGCCGTGAGGGTCAGCGTGGGCGGGCCGCTAGGCCGTGAGGGTCAGCGTGGGCGGGACGCTAGGCCGTGAGGGTCAGTGTGGGCGGGACGCTAGGCCGTGAGCGTCAGCGTGCGCGGGCCGCTAGGCCGTGAGCGTCAGCGTGTGAGGAACGCTAGGCTCACATGAGGGGCAGCCCGGGCGGGACGCTAGGCCGTGAGGGTCAGCGTGGGCGGGCCGCTAGGCCGTGAGGGTCAGTGTGCGTGGGACGCTAGGCCGTGAGGGTCAGCGTGGGCAGGATGCTAGGCCGTGAGGGTCAGCGTGCGTGGGACGCTAGGCCGTGAGGGTCAGCGTGCGCCGGACGCTAGGCCGTGAGGGTCAGTGTGGGCGGGACGCTAGGCCGTGAGGGTCAGCGTGGGAGGGACGCTAGGCCGTGACCGTCAGCGTGGGCGGGACGCTAGGCCGTGAGGGTCAGCGTGGGAGGGACGCTAGGCCGTGAGGGTCAGCGTGCGCCGGACGCTAGGCCGTGAGGGTCAGCGTGCGTGGGACGCTAGAACGTGAGCGTCAGCGTGGGCGGGACGCTAGGACGTGAGGGTCAGCGTGCGCCGGATGCTAGGCCGTGAGGGTCAGCGTGCGTGGGACGCTAGAACGTGAGCATCAGCGTGGGCGGGACGCTAGGCCGTGAGGGTCAGCGTGGGAGGGACGCTAGGCCGTGAGCGTCAGCGTGCGCCGGACGCTAGGCCGTGAGGGTCAGCGTGCGCCGGACGCTAGGCCGTGAGGGTCAGCGTGGGAGGGACGCTAGGCCGTGAGCGTCAGCGTGGGAGGGACGCTAGGCCGTGAGGGTCAGCGTGGGAGGGACGCTAGGCCGTGAGCGTCAGCGTGCGCCAGACGCTAGGCCGTGAGGGTCAGCGTGCGCCGGACGCTAGGCCGTGAGGGTCAGCGTGGGAGGGACGCTAGGCCGTGAGCGTCAGCGTGGGAGGGACGCTAGGCCGTGAGGGTCAGCGTGCGCCGGACGCTAGGCTGTGAGGGTCAGTGTGGGCGGGACGCTAGGCCGTGAGCGTCAGCGTGGGCGGGACCCTAGGCCGTGAGGGTCAGTGTGGGCGGGACGCTAGGCCGTGAGGGTCACTGTGGGAGGGACGCTAGGCCGTGAGCGTCACCGTGGGCGGGACGCTAGGCCGTGAGCGTCAGCGTGGGAGGGACGCTAGGCCGTGAGGGTCACCGTGGGCGGGACGCTAGGCCGTGAGCGTCAGCGTGGGAGGGACGCTAGGCCGTGAGGGTCAGCGTGGGAGGGACGCTAGGCCGTGAGGGTCAGTGTGGGCGGGACGCTAGGCCGTGAGCGTCACCGTGGGCGGGACGCTAGGCCGTGAGCGTCAGCGTGGGAGGGACGCTAGGCCGTGAGGGTCAGCGTGGGAGGGACGCTAGGCCGTGAGGGTCAGTGTGCGTGGGACGCTAGGCCGTGAGCGTCAGCGTGGGCAGGATGCTAGGCCGTGAGCGTCAGCGTGGGCGGGACGCTAGGCCGTGAGCGTCACCGTGGGCGGGACGCTAGGCCGTGAGCGTCAGCGTGGGCGGGACGCTAGGCCGTGAGCGTCAGCGTGCGTGGGACGCTAGAACGTGAGCGTCAGCGTGCGTGGGACGCTAGAACGTGAGCGTCAGCGTGGGAGGGACGCTAGGCCGTGAGGGTCAGCGTGGGAGGGACGCTAGGCCGTGAGGGTCAGCGTGGGAGGGACGCTAGGCCGTGAGGGTCAGCGTGCGTGGGACGCTAGAACGTGAGCGTCAGCGTGGGCGGGACGCTAGAACGTGAGTGTCAGCCTGGGAGGCTGGGGAATCCCGCCTGCCTCCGGGCCCCCTCCCTGTGCCATCACCTGCCTCGCTGCCTGGTCGCCGACCTGCCACTCTGTGGCCCATGGGCCAGGGATGAGAAAGCAATAGCTGCAGAGTCTGAGTGATATTCACAAACACATTACATTTTAATATCAGTTTACATATTGTACACAAGTCGACACAATGATCGGCTGCTTCTTAAGACTATCCCACATGCGCTGCTCTGGGAAAGTGTCATCTCAGGAAGTTCAAGAGGATGGGTGACCCAAGACCCAGCGTGTATCTGGCAAAACTTGTTGCCTGTTTGATATCAAGAATGTCCTGTTAACAGCCAACTAACAAAAGTCCACGTTAGAAGTGACAAGAAGAACGTTTTCAGAAAGTTCTGTTTCTTAGTTGATGCAGAAGAGAGAACAAATTTTGAGGCAATTGAGACCCAAAGGTGTCTGTATGAAGAGGTGGTGACCACTGACTCACACGAGGACTCAACCAGGTAAGAGGCTGTGCAGTGGGAATCAACCAGACTGTTGAAAATATACATGGAAAGAATAAGCTATTAAAGGGGCACGTGCGTGAATTATTCTAGAGGAAGCAGCTGCAAATCCTAAAGGATTAATCTCTGCTTCTGTGCAGGGAGAGCCTTTGTGGCTGCATGAAAAAGCCAGAGATGGAGGGGTGTCATCCATTAAAAGATTAACGAGAAAAAGCCACAGTATAATCTAAGGTATCCTCAGTTGAGAAAGACTTATCATCAAGTGAAAAATGGTTGTTTAAATATCAGATTATTTATAGTAGACATGGAGGTGAAACAGCATTTCAGAAAACTTGTCAAGTTTGGATTTCCTGGGAAAAGGGTCAGTCGAAATGGGATTTACTTGCTGCAAAGACAAGTGACAAGTTACAGGTGACAGAGCCTTTTAGACCAGCTGGAAGCAGGAAAGGCCACCATGGCCTCCCCTCCGGGAGGGCCAGGGAGGGGGCAAGGGACGTCCACCCTGCACAGGAGGCTGTGAAGGGCGGACCCCCTCTGAAGATGCTGATGGTGTGGACATCACCCCGGCCTCCAAGGAGAGACGCGGCAAGAAGGAAGTGCCAACCCGGGAGGAGAAGCCGGTCTACCTGGAGCTTCTAAGCCCAAAGGCTACGGAGGCAAACCAAAGGGAGCCAGACCCGCCGGAAGCCTGCTCAGGTCTCCGACCTGGAGGCCACCAAGGAGAAGCCGCGCTCCCAGGAAGCTGTCCACAGGCTGTCCCGTTTACAGCTGGCCTGCTGGGACTGGAGACGCCCTCCTCAGCGAGAGGCAGACGGAAGTCGCCGTGTGCTGCAGTGTTAGCCAGGGTCCGAGTGCGGTTAACCCCGTTTCAGTCGTGAGGGGAGCATGGTCTCAAGCCCCGGAAAAGGAGGTCTTAACAGAGCGGGCTGGGTGGTTCTTGCTAACGCTGTCCATTTGAGGTCCTAAGCTATGTGTCCGCCAGGCACTGCGTGGACGGCTACAGACCGCACAGCCATCAAGCAAGAGGACGCCCTCCCGGTGTTTACACGCCACGAAGAGAACTCCAGGGTCTGGTGGCGGGAGGGCTAGTTCAGGAGGTCACTGAACATGAGCAGGTGGTCTATGGCGCTAGGGCCCTGGACAGGGGTCCTGTAAGAAACGACACGGAGTGAAACAGAGCCTGCACCCCGCGGACCACGCCCTGCTCTGCCGTGGAGGGGGGGGCGGGGGTCCCGGGGGAGGGAGCCCAATGGGGTCTGAAAGCAGAATTTTCTCTGCATCAGAAGGAAAGCCCTTTGAAAACGAAATAGAAGCTAAGCAATTTGACGTGATGCTTTTTATAAAAGGCCAGGTAATTAAAAACGATGACTGGGGAATCTTGGTTCTCATCAGGTTGCGGAAAGCTCCTCTTGCCCTTGTTCTCCTGACAGATACTCGAATGTCTGTTTCAACTAGATGACGGCAGGTCTTAATACGCGGGCTGGGGCTTGGCCTGACTTCTTCCAAAACCTGCTTAGGAGCTGAATGTGAATACATTCATCTACCTACTTACATCTACAGAGACACAGAGAAGACAACCTGTAGTCTGGCTGTGTGGATGCGGCTGACCAGACCCACGCTGAAAACCCAGAGACAGTTACAGGCGCAGAGGAGAGAGGGCCACGCTGTGTGTGCTGGTGAAGCCTTAGCTGGGTTACGGCTGCCCTGATGAGCATCGGTAGCTAATGACCACAGTGCACTGTAGGAATTAGCTAGGATCATGGCGGGGTTTGGTTATTCGTCCTATTTAAATATCCATTCTAAAAATGATCATATTAAGCACTGACTTTTAAAAATATCAGCTTCTCACTTTTCACATGATAATCACTTCCTTAAAGTCTGAGTAACGCTGTAAAACTCCATATGCATGCATACCTGGAGAGAAAATACCTATGCTTTAGAAAATTCAAGATGGAAAGGATGTGATATGAAAAAGCTAGAGATAAACGAAAGGGAAAAGGCAGGTGGACTGCCCACACAGGTGACCAAAATCCTCAAGAACGTACATGTGTGCTGAGTTGCGCTGGTGCACACAGCTGTCTTGGTAAACACATGTTTCTTTTCAAATGACACACCCCTTTTGTTAGCACTAAGTGAACAGACTTTAGAAAGAGAAGGATTTTCGTTAAATCTTACTTGAGTTCTTGTGAGCTGGTGGCCAGCATACTTCGAATGCTTTTGTCAGCCAGCGGGCAGCCCGACAGACTGTAAGACAGGCCAGAAGAGTCCGGTGAGAAGCCCCGAGGCCCAGCGTACGTCCCCAACAGACACAACATAAAACTGAAATCAAAAAGTTGAATGCAGAAAAGCGATGGGGCAAGTGCTGTATATTGAATTTTGTTGGTGCAATGAACTAATTCATGTTTCCATAGAAATTTAAGGAAGCATGTATTTGCAGAAACCATTTGAAAAAGTAAGATTCAAATATTTGGGCTCTTTGGTCTCAACGTCTGTAAATCATTTTCCAAATTTAGGTAGCTTGCTTCGAGATAAAAGACTTTATAGAACATGTCGATTAGCATGCTTTTGAAGGTCAACATATAGCACTTAAAGGGGTGACACAGAAGTCAACGTTTGTACTGGGACAGCATTGTTGAGGTAAGCTGAAAACAATAAATTGAAACGACAGAATCCACCATGAGAAAAATGAAGGCACACCTTCTATGTGAGGCGTAATTACCAGTCACATGACCACTCCCATCACACCTTGGTGTTGGACATCTGCCACCAAACAAAAACAAAAACAGCCAGAGTAGTAAGCATGTTTCAAAAAAAAAATAAACTTGAAAAAAGTTTCATTGTTTCCAGTTTAGCTGCAATGTCTGCACGGGTTTAAGCTGCCTGAAGAAAGCTGCAAATGCACAGGGTCACATGGAAATGGTGTCTCCATAGCACAGAGCATCGCTCAGAACAAGCGTCCACAGCTGGCCTGTCACCCACCCGCCTGGCCCCTGGGGACATCTGTGCACTGTGCGTGTCGCATGCTCAGACGGCAAGGCAGATACAGACCCGGGTAGAGGTGAGCCAGAGGAGGGGCTCGGGGGAGCGACCGTCCGCCGCGCGCTGTGCTTACGTTATCAGGTCCTTCTTGCTCTCCTTGCACTGGGGGTACTTGGGCTTGGGGCTCGGGATGGTCACCTCCCCTGGGTACCTTCTTTCTTCGAGGGCCTCCTGGAAGGGGTCCAAGTCTTCTGGCTGCGGGCGAAACACAGGTTCAGGGCCACAGAAGACCCTGGACGCATGGACTGGAGGCTGCCCTCCCCCCACCCCCAACCGTGTCCCAACCTTACCCTTAAAAATCACAACACACTCTCGTCCCGAGGATGCAAACCCAGTTTTGTTCAAAGAGCATCTTTGGTCTGTGCGCCACTTGTCTCTCACCACTTGCTCTAAACCCCTAGTTCAGTGGGGAAATTCTAATTCCTGCAGCTGCACAGACAGGAGGGGCAGAGAAGCGGCCTGGCAGCCCAACCAACTACTCAGCGGACCTTGCTCACCGGGTCCAAGACCTGCAGCACTGAATCCAGCACTGACAGGCAGAACCTAAGCTTTACACACAAAGATACCTGGGGCGTCTGGCAACCTTTGGTAAAGGGTTCTACACTGTGGAAGTTTTCTACGTGCTTTAAGTCCCAAGGCAAGGGAAGACCAACATAGATTGATGCTGTGAGTTTAAATTACTGTTACTGCTGCTGCTGCTGCTGCTAAGTCGCTTCAGTCGTGTCCGACTCTGTGTGACCCCATAGACGACAGCCCACCAGGTTCCCCCGTCCCTGGGATTCTCCAGGCAAGAACACTGGAGTGGGTTGCCATTTCCTTCTCCAATGCATGAAAGTGAAAAGTGAAAGTGAAGTTGCTCAGTCGTGTCCTACTCTTCGCGACCCCATGGACTGCAGCCTACCAGGCTCCTCCGTCCACGTGAAAAATTACTGTTAGGCAGCATTAAAAAAAAATTTTTTTTTTAATAGAATATTCTCAGGCTAAGAGGGGCCCCTTGCAGTAACCTAGAAATTCCTATAGGTGGTGATGTTCAGCAAACGTGTTTCCTGAGTGCAGGGTTTCACTTGTGTGACACCTGACGAGGGCAAAGCTGCTGTCTTTTTATGGGGGCTTAATTTTAATTAAAATAAATTCAGAGACTCAACTACCATGCCTTATTTGGTAGTAACAATTTAACGTTTTAGGGAAGAAAAAGTACTTTGGAATTTAGCTTGCCACTCAGATTCTATTCTCCTGGATATTTAAATCAATTTGAAGAATAAACATAATAGGCTTCAGATGTAATGGCCTTATAAACAGGTACCTTCCCTGACAATTCCTACAAATAGCTAATGTTTCCTTTTTACCCACCTCTCTGTTTCTGTAAGATACTATGGTTTGATGGTGGTCTCCCCATTGTGTTCAAAAAGAATTTTCATTTTTCAGGGAATAAAGGAGATGTCATAACTTTCAGAATTGAACACTGGAGAAAAAGTCAGTCTAATAAAGAACAATTCTTTTTTCATTTATTTTCTTAGCCTAAAGAAAATTGTAACTATTTTAATGATTTGAATTTGAAAATTGTAACTACTTCAAAAATACGTTCTTGACGTAGGTGTTTTGGTAATGTTGTAATCAACAAAGATTTGGGTGACTGTACAAAAATAATTTATTCTAGGCGGCAGGGCACTCTTCTGCATATTTTGGGTGTTTTGGAGAACAGACCCTGTCCTTCCCTAGTAGCTCAGATGGTAAAGAGTCCGCCTGCAATGTGGGAGACCTGGGTTTGATCCCTGGGTTGGGAAGATCCCCTGGAGGAGGGAATGGCTACCCACTCCAGTGTTCTGATCTGGAGAATCCCACGGACAGAGGAGCCTGATGGGCTACAGCCCATGGGGTTGCAAAGAGTTGGGCACGACTGAGCGACTTTCACTTCCCTGTCCCTAGCTTCAAGGAGTTAGCTAATTAACAACACAGAATTAAACATGCAAGCATTTAAGAATCTCATTATTCCTTACTTGCAAGGAAAACCCTGCATTCTATCAGTTTATCACCCAGGAAAATGAATTGGTAAGCAGTTCACACATTTTCTTAGAGAAATTGTTTGCAACAAAACACACTTGTTGGAAAATAAAATTCATCATTCAAAGGAGTCAGTGGTTTGTTTCGCTCTCATCAATGTTGCTCCCAAACCTCTCGTGCATTAACCAAAACCGTCTTCTAAGCTCCAGTCAGCTAAAAGGGAAAAGACCATTTCCGCTAAGGCGTGCACCCGGGGCGTTTTCCCTCGGTGGCGCCGCTCGGTGGACGGGCCGGGTGGGGGCGGGGCTCCAAGAAGGGACGTACGGTGAGCTCTTTGGCCTCGTCCCCGTCCATCCTGCGGGGCTTCATCTTGGTGTAGTCCACGGGCAGGTCCCAGCAGTCCCCCTCACTCAGCTGGAAGCACCGGCTGCTCACCACTGCCTGCTGGGGGGACATGGGCTCCAGGGGCGTCAGGATCGGGCAGCATCCTTCCCGCGGCCGCTGTTTGTTCATGCTCAGGTCCAGGGTCCCGTTCTCATCCACCTCCATGTCAGGGTTCTGCGAGACAGAAGGACAGGGTGACCGAGCGCGTCTTCCCTCGGACCACAGCCCTTTCGCCAGGACAGAGGTCAAGCTAGAAACTCCTCACGGCAGTCTCACTCGCAGAAGCTCCCCAGGTGAGCAGAAGTGGTCCCCTCACCAGTTCTGCTCTCCACGCGAGGCTGTGGAACTGGCTGACAGGCGCACAGGACATCCATCTGTCTGCTTATCTATGGACCACCTCTCAATCTCTCTTGTCGCTTACCCACGAATCTATCATCTCTCTATCACTTAACTATCATAGATCTGTATCTTTTTTCCCTAATATGTCTCTACTTTTAGAAATAAGCCTCACCAGAAGAAAAACAAGTGCCTGATTTCAATTCTATCACAGTTCAAAGACCTCTTAAGAGGTGAGAAATGGAAGTGTGTACAAATTATACATCTATACGTAAAAATGTACACAGATTTAAAATTCTCCTTTAGTTTCACTGATGCTAATACTCCCAAACTTGGAGATGAAGAAAATACAAGAATTTAGAGGGATGGAGGAGAGGAACTATAATTTACTTCCTTTTGGGGGGAGGGCGGTGGGATCAAATTGAGTCCTACCAGGTACAGACTCTGGGAACATAGTAGTGAACAAAACAAAACAAATCCCTCCACACAGAACTTACTTTCCCATACAAAACCTTATCGTACCTGATGAAGAGGGTTTTCTATTCTGCGGCAGGGAAATGTGCAGTCACAGTGCATCATGCTTCCACAGCAGTGATCGCGGCTGACCTGCTCTAACGGTCAGCAAACCTGCAATTTAGTCACCCAGCTTTGCAAAAGCCTAAGAGGTGCAGGGCGAGGGGTTTCTTTTCTTTTTGATGCTTTAAACAGATTAAGAATCCCTGAGAATCTTCCTCTCGAGAATGGGGAGAGAAGGAAGGGCAGATGGAGGACAGAGGAAAGAAAAATCAAAATACCCCCGACAATCCTCCATTTTTTCCCCCAAAGAGTCATACTCTCTTGAGCAATTTGATGTCAGAGCTGGCGTGAACGCCGCTGCCTACTCAGACGTCTGGCGTCTCTTTCTTCGGGCTGTAACAGCAGAGGGAAGGTGCTTGGAACCAACCTCCGCCTCTGCGCTGTTACCGGGGTAAATCCCAGCGTATTATTCTGCCTGAATCCTTGTGAAAGTGCACCTCTGGCTTCCAGCTTTCAGACTAATACAGCCTTCACCATGTCGGACTGTAATTCCCTCGGTCTTAGTTAATATTTAGTAAAGCGAAAAAACACACACACATAATTCACACAAAACCTCGAAGGGGTTATTGTCTTTTGTTTTCCCCTTGCCACAGAATTTCCTCCATGGCAGCCTGGCATTTTAGCAGCCCTGATCATGGAAATTGCATGCCCCTGCCACTCCTCCAAAATCCAGGAATAAAAATATTAATAGAGAAGAAAGCATTTGCAAGACATAAAATTACTGACCTTTCTCCATTCACACAAATTACACCTATTTCTAACAACTACGGTCAGTGTGGTGCGCTCAGGAGCGTGCCCAGCAGTGCTGGGCGACGAGGCGGCCCTTTGTTCTGGAGAGGAGAGCCGCCCGCTCGCCGGCGGGGGCAGGACGCGCTCGCGCCCGGGTCCCTGGCCTCCTGGCGGCCTCTCTGGGCAGCTCCGGGCGCGGCGGGGCCGCGCGGTTCCCCCTCCTGCCGGGAACCGGTCGACGAGGACCCGCCCTGGCCCTGCTCACCGTTTCGGCATCTGTGGTGTTCTGAACTAATGGAAGCTGACTGTAATTGCTTGGCTGGGAGCCCGCGGGGAAACGGGATTTTTGCCCTTCCTTTGTTCCCCAGCTCTGGGCTGGAGGTCGCAGTCCAGCCCGCCCGCGGCGGCCTCGGCCCGCGGCGCTGCACACCCTCCTCTGATTAAGGGCCGGGACGCAAGGCCCCTCGAGGTTCCTAGTGTCCGTGCTGCCCTCGGGATCGCCAGGAGGGGAACGTGGTGTGGGTCCTAAAAGGGGGAAGGGCGGTGCTCCTAAATGCACAGGTGAATCTGAAAGACTGATCTGGAAAATGTGTCCCCAGGGCCGTGCGCAATCAGGCTTCCTTGGAGCAGAGCCGGGGAACTGGCGGTCTGCGCGGGTGTCCGCGACGGGGACCTCGGGGTCGGGGCGGCAGGGAAGGGAGGTGGGGGTGGGGGCGGGCCGAGGCCCCGCCCCGCCAGGCGCGCCCCGCCCGTACCCTCGCGGCGCACAGGTCCTGCGGCTTGGTGGACAGGTTCTGCGGCATCTCGCGGCAGCGCGTGGACAGGTTGAGGATGGCCGCGGCCGCCATGTGCGCGGCCTCCACGTCGTGCGTGTAGTCGAAGCTGCTCTTGCTGCACGTGCTGCTGGCGCTGCTGCCGCCGCCGCAGCTCAAGTTGCTGCTGCTGCTGGGCGCGTAGGTGCTGGTGGTGCTGCTGCTGGGGCTGGCGTCCTTGCAGTACCGCTTCGCTGGGGAGACAGCGCGCGGCGGTGACTCGGGGGCCCCGCCCAGGCCCGCGGCCGCGGAAGCGCTCCCCGCGCCACCCGCCCGCCCACGCCTGCGCGTCGGCCCCCGGGGGGACAGGGCACCTGCCCGCCAGCTAGTTCCCCGAAAGAAGCCTGGCTTTTCCTGCTTTTTCCTTCTTTCCCGTTGTGTGGGCGGAGCCGGAAGCCCGCAGGAAGAGCACCGAGGCTCTCAACAGGGGGCCAGGGCAGGAGCGCTTTGGAACTGATCCCCTAAAGGCCAGCCCTGCTTCGGGCGCGGCCACCGAGGCGCGGCCCGCACCAGCCTGACCACAGCCCAAGGTTGGCTCCTGTTATGGCTGCTCGTCTACTCTCACGGGGAGACGGGGACCCTGCAGCCCACTCATCCCTCTAGAGACTGGACGGCCTGTCCCGCCCGGAGGGGCCGCGGCAGCCCTTTGGGGCGCCCTGACCTGTGCAGATGGCCCAGATGCACAGGGAAGGCTCTTGTGGGTCTGCGAGCACCTGCGCTTTGGGAAGGGCGGGCCCTGCTGCTCCGCCCTCGTGTGCATCCCAGCCACCAGCTTCCCTCCGGGATCCGTCTGAGCAACCAGCCTCCCAACCACCCATTCGTGCCCACAGGGCAAGGGTGGCTTCCGGAGCTGTTTGCACCTCCTTTAGCGCAAAGACGGTAAGGTGACCGATGGTTGACTGATTAGGATGTGCCCGGGCCATTAAAGACACGGGATGCCCTTTGCTTAGGAGTCAGCAGCTCGCCTGAGCCTGCAGGGGGGCGGGAATTACTCCGAGGGGAGCCCCGAGGGCACCAGGAGAGCTGACTGCAAGGTCTGCAGGGTGCCACCCGCTCCAGCAACCCACCCCTTCACAGGGCACAGTCCCCTTCTGCAGGGAGCTCAGCCGTCACCCCGACAGAGGCCAAGCTGCAGGGGGAGCCCAGAGGGGCTCCAGCCCTGCTCAAGGCTGCCTGTGTGCACGCGAGAGCCCCATCAAGATCATTCTGGCAGACAAGTCACCTCTTCTGAAAGAGGGAGGGGACGCTGCTCCCCTGTCCTCAGCATTGCCATCCTCGTGCCTGCAACCTGGTACCCTTCCCAGGTGTGGTCAGCAAGTGACCACGTGATCACAGCCAACACTGCTGGTCATCACAGCACCCCCAAGGGCGGCCCCAAAGCACCCTGTTCCGACACAAATGAAAGCACTGACTTTCACCATTGACACCTTTAGATCTGGGACGGAAGAGTTAGTTTTCTTGACCCCAGGGACATGGCGGGGGAGGCTCTGAGCCTGCAGCCGCCTCAGGAAAGCTGCCGGCCTTGTCGCAGCCCCGTGCCTGGGCCCGGGCTCAGTTCCACACCCTTAGACCCGCCCAGTGCGAGGAACGACTTCCGTCCTGCTCGTACTCGGTCAAGCCTGAGGACCAGTCCTCACACATGTGCGGGTGCCTGCCCTTCTCCTCCCCCGTCCCCCCTCCCCGTGAGCACACCTGCTCACAGGGGACAGGGGGGCGGGGGCGTGGTCCCCCTCTGAGCACAGAGGGGGAGGCGGGGCCGCGCAGGGCCCCCAGTGGGCTCTGTAAAAAAACCAGGGCAGCGGCTCGCAGCTCACAAGCCTCCCCGAAAGGACTTTCAAGTTTGTGGCTTCACATCGTTTACAATTTTGTTATAAAAACGGGAATATAAAAACTGTGGGGGAAATGAAACACCACTTAGGAGGGATTTTTTTTTTCTTCTTCTTTCCCTAGTGAGGGTTAGACACTGGTTCAGGAAAAGAAACATGGTCCACATAAATAAGGAAAAAAGTTTTGTTTTGCAATGAGGGGATTTCAGTTTCCAAAAGAAAGTAAACAGCATACGTGTGTCTACGCAACAGACTGCACTCCGCCAACTTCTGGTAAAAGGCACTGACTTTACCAAATATTTAAATCAAAAGACTCCACTTCCCCTGGATTATGCCAAGCTGATGGGCCTCGTCCAGAATTTTAGCAGCTGATGGAACTGGACAATTTATTGATCTGCCTGTCAGCTCACATGACCCAGAAGGAAGGCGAACAGAACATTTGTTTCACAAGCATCCTTTCACCATGGGCCATCAATCATGCATTCTTTGCTCCAAATGCAAATAAGAGTCTGTGTACTTCAAGTCTCTCAGATAATGAAGCTCTTTGGTTTTAGTCATTATTTCCTATTTGTAAAATATTTACAAAGCTGTTAGTGTCAGTAATCTTTATGACCAATCACACGAACAGCCGACTCATTGGAAAAGCCCCTGCTACTGGGAAAGATCGAAGGCAAAAGGAGAAGAGGGCGGCAGAGGGTGAGATGGTCAGATGGCATCACTACCTCAAAGGACATGAATCTGAACAAACTTCAGGAGACAGCGAAGGACAGGGTAGCCTGGTGTGCCGCAGTCCACGGGGTCGCAAAGACTCGGCTATGACTTAGCAACTGAACCACAGCACGCTCAGAGCTTCTGGGGCTCACTGCGTGGACACCAGGGGGTGCCACAGAGCAGGGGCAACTCTCTGCCTCGCTCCCAGCCCTGGGACAGCCCCCCTTCCACCTTAACCAAGTCAAAACTTCCTTTTTCTTTTGACAAAGCTATTTTCAATCAAAGCTTTCCCCAATCAACCCGCAAACAAATGCATTCATGTTCCTCAGATGCCAGCACATCCCTGAACTTAGGAGACAGAACAGCTTCTACTCCAGAGAGAGGCCCTCTCATTTACAACGTCAGAAGTCCACCTGATCTTACCCCGTGCTGAGAAATATCTCAAGTGCCCTGCCCTCTCGTGCAGGAAAAGGAAAAACAGGCTGAGGTTTACAGTGATTAAAGATGATGAATTAGAAAACCAACCAGCCACCTTCCAATTCAGTCTATCTGCCTGAAAGACTCTTTCGACGTGGGTGCGTCGCCCTTCTGAACTATCGTTTTCTGTAGGGAGTAGATCACTGTGGCCTTCCGATCTGAATTTCTGTGAAAAGCCGGCAAAATGGAACACAGACGGGAGATATGCTTCCTGAGGATCCGCCCCCTGGTTGGGCCTGCGCCCCCGTCAGGTCTGGGTGGACTCAGGGGTCTGCGCCCCCGTAATTCGTAGCCCTGACTCCCAGACGTCATGTGGGTTCCTGGCTGTGCTTTCCCGTAAGCAAGCCGAGACTCGGATGCAGAGTCCTCAGGGGAGCAGCGGCGCCTCCCGAAGGCAGTTTGCTCGCGCGGTTTAGGGTTTGTCACGTCTGAACCAGGGCTGGATCCTCGGTGGTCTCCCTCCTGCTCGCTCTCTCTGGGCGTCATCTGCCCGGCTCCTGTCTGTCCAGGCTGCACCCGCCATGGGGGGGCGGGCGGTTTCGGGTCTCAGGAGGTGGGACGTGGGACCCAGAGCTGCGGGGGGAGGCCTGGGCCTCTCCTTGTGCACGAGCAGGTCTGAGGAGGCTGGGGGCAGGCTGCTGAGTCCAGGCACAATCTGTCCTGGGGAGATGACTGGGGAAGAAGCTTCTGGAGGTGGAAGTGACTGTGGGGGGCGGGAGAATGGGGAGGCAGGTCTTCCAAGGAGAGGCTGACCTGGGGGTGGGGGTGGAGGCAGGGAGGCCTGGCCCAGAGGATGGGCCTGGAGGCACAGGAGGGCTCGCCCACGGGACCCTCCCTACGCCAGTGATGAGGCCTAGGCCGGGGAGGGCAGGCGATGGGGAGGTGGGCGGATCAGAGACAAGGCTTTTGAAGAGCAGCTGTTGTTCAGCTGCGAGCTGTGTCTGACTCTTTGCAGCCCCGTGGCCGGCAGCACACTAGGCTCCTCTGTCCTTCTCCATCTCCCTGACTTTCCTCAAACTCATGTCCACTGAGTCGGTGATGCCATCCAACCATCCCATCCTCTGTCGTCCCCTTCTCCTCCCGCCTTCAATCTTTCCCAGCATCAGGGTCTTTTCCAATGAGCTGGCTGTTCACATCAGGTGGCCAAAGGGCTGGAGCTTCAGCTTCAGCATCAGTTCGTCCAGTGAAAATTCAGTTGATTTCCTGAACAGAGAGTGGTTTAAGGATGGGCAGGAGAATGTGCAAGTTGGGAATAACCCAGAGGAAGACTCACGAGAGGGGCCTACGCGGGGCTGAGAGCATAGGGTTTTAACAGAACCTGAGGGTGGTGATAGACTGCCCAGAGACACAGCGGGATGGCTTAGACCCGGTTGCAAACTTTTTCTGCGAAGGGCCTGGCAGTGGTGGAGGCTTGGTGGTCACGAGGTCTCTGATGGCACCGCATGTCGGGCTGTTGTCCTGGGAAACAGCCGCCGTCCACACGGATGAGGAAAACTGCTTCTGAACACTGAAATTTGAATTCTTCTTTTGTTTTTTCCCCATCTATTTTACAGTGGAAATGCCATTCTTAGCTCACCATAAACAGGCCTCAGGGGGAGGCAGGGAGACCCCGGCTAGGGGCAGGGCTCCCTCCTGTATCATTCCCGCTTGGGGATGTCGGAGATCGGTGTGCTTCGCCCCAAGGCAGACGACACAAAGTCCTCTCCTCACCACCTCTTGGTCGATCTGTCCCTTCTCTCCTGCGTCTCAAGTCCTGGCCTTGCTGGCCAGCTGGCAGCTTCCACTCACTCATGCATTTCCTGCCTTCTGGTAATTTCCACTCATGATCAAGTTTAAAATTCACCACTTTGGTAAAACTCATGCTGATTCCTTCAGGCAGCATGGACACCTTGCTTCATTGTGCCTGGGTGTGTTTCACTGTCTTCTATAACCCACAGTCTCTTCCTTGAAGCTTGTTATAAAGAAGAGGAAGAAAATGGATGGATGAATGATGGGTAGATAGGTGGGCCCATGGATGGATGCACGGATAGGCAGATGGATGGATGGAGACATGGATGGATAGATGTATGGTGGACAGATAGGTGGGCCCATGGATGGATGGATGGAGAGAGAGAGGGGTAGACAGACTGGTAGATGAGACACACAGCTACTCCTGAGTGTCTGGAAGAACGCGGGTGAATAAATCGATGTTTGTTGACTGTTCTTGGCCATGGCTGGTGGAATGTGAGGGACGACCCCAGAGCCTGGGGTAAGAGTCCTGCTTTTCCAGCCTCCGTGCACCCCAGACCCTGACCCCCACTCCCAGACGTTATGCTCCCCTCCCCCCCGGAGGCTCATTCCGCGGTCTCTGGGGGCAGTGGCCCAGCCCATAGTGCACCTGGAGCAAGTCTTGCAGACAGCCCTCTTAAGGCAACTGCAGACGCCAGTCATGCCATGAAGGCTGCCCTTCCCTTTCCCTCAGTTTCTAGAAGACTTGGCGCTGAAGTGTCTCTTCTGTGTTCTTTTAATTTGGGGACCAGCTGAAGAGCAGGGCAACAGTGGGGGTCTTTTCTGGGAGGCGAATGACACCAACATGTGCAGGTTCCCCTCGTAGCCTTGTTGGCTGAGCTGCACCTAGTCAGCCAGCAGGCTGGAACAGTCACTCCCTCTGCTTTCAAGGAAACCACCACGCGAGAGGATTCATGTGTCTGTCCCCACTCAGCTCATCTGAGAAAGGGCATGGTGACCCTGGTCACGACTTCACCAGATCCAACCAGAACAACGCGACGGAAAGGACAGGAAACAGGTCTCACAGAACAACAGCAACAGGCTGTGTGCAGAAGTGGCCACCAGACCCTATAAAACGTCAGTGAACTGGGGACCCTACAAGCACAGACCTTAATTGTGTGGTCTGAAGAATTCAAGTTCTTCAGATCCCTCATTTGCATCAAATGAATGAAGTCATAACAAAGCCTGAAATTAGCAAATTATTACTACAAAATCCTCAATTATTATGTTATACCCTAAGCCACTCCCTTTTCTCCGCTTCCATCTTTGTTCCTATGTATTTAGAATTGATACACGCAAGGGTAATCAATCTGAGATACATCAAAGATATATTATATTTCATTCACCATGCAAATTAATTGCTACTAACGTGAAGAATGACTAAAATAATGTAGAATAATGTGCAGCAACTCATATGGAATTGTGAAAAGGTTTTGGAACTACCCAAGCATTCAGTTTCAATGGATTTTTTGGTGTGCAGTGAGTTTAATTAAATATCTTTTCCAGAGAGCTGCTCTGAAATCTTCCAAACCCTCTCTCCTGGCCCCTGCGGAAGAATGCCAAGATTAGACTCCTAAATCACCCAGCGTACACAACCCATGTCCCCGTCGGTAACATCTGCCAACTAAGTCCATATATCCTAGAACTGAAGATAGAAACGTGGTTAGATAGATACAGAAAGTCACGGAATGCAGTCTCCCCTCCGTGCTTCAATTACTTACCAAATTAGCTCTTGTGATGACATGGGAACTAGCCTGTTTAGAGTTTGCACCCCTTTTGTGGGTTCAGATATGCACGAGTGAAAATAAGCGATCTTTCCCCGTGAAGCGTACGTTTACCTATTTCATGGGCTCCACGAGCAAGGCCAGTGACAGAGTCACAAAGCGGGGACAGGACGCTCCCCAGGCCCCACCCTGGGGTCTGAACCTGCTGGAAGAAGGCTGGTGGGGCCCGCAGAAGCTGCATGTTAGATTCACTGGTGACTTTTTAAAAATGCTGTCCACCGGGACCACCTCTGGGGAGTCAGATTCAACTGGTCTGGGGTGCAGCCATAGACATCAGAATTAAAACATCTCCCCAATGAATGCACCATGCATCCTGACTTGAGAACAGGCAGGGAGCACAGAACTCTCAGAAGGACCAGGAACTCCGGGCAGATACCCCGGCTCTCCTGGTTTTGTCTGTGTCGGGGCGTCTATCAGAGGAAGCTGGTGGAGATGAGGACACGTCTCAGCAGCGCCGTGGAGCAGACAAGCCCACAGCTGTCTGTCTCCACTGCCTGCCGGCGCCTGGATGATGCTCTGCCCTGGGGATGATGGGGAAGGGGTCTCCCTCCCTCCATGCCCCCCTCCCTCTCCCAGGACCTGCTCGCCCACACCTGCGGGTACCTGGGGCCGCAGGAAACCCGCCTAGGCTGCGGGCGTGCTTTCCTTGGTGCCCAGCGAGCGACCCCATGCTCGGTCGGTTTGTAGGCAATGGATATGCACAACAACAACATTATCAACGGCAAGCGTGACGCTCATGTAGAAGAGGGTGCACCTCCTACCATCGAATCCTTTGGGGGATATGTCCCTGGTTTGCACCTTGGGAGCTATGGCCCGCTTGCCGTAAGTCTGGCTGTCGTATGTGCTGTAGTCAAACGACGTCTTGGAGTATTTCTCCAGCTCTTTGGCCAAGTTGGAGCGAGGCGTGGTGGTGGGCACGTTGTTTCTGTAGCCGTAGTGTGGGATCTCCAGCTGCTTTACAAAGCACATGGGCCTGGGAGCAGAGAGAGAGAACGGACAGCTTGCTTCCTCACGGCCACGCACGAGACGCGGTTCATCTTAAAACGAGAACATCTTGTTTCTTAGCTGCGTTAAGGAACCGGAATCTTGCACTAAAATCCCAATTCTGTTTTCTTGAGACAAGGCCAAGCGTGCTGTAATGATACAACATCAAATCGGCTTCTGCCAAGATGCCGAGTTTTTGGAAATAAAAAGGACACAAAATAAAATACTTAAATTTTTGCCCTGTTTTTTTTTTTTTCTTTTCAGAGTCTAAGAAAGTGTAGAGAAGATAATGCAAAGTGAATGTGGGAAGGGATCTCAGATCCCTGTGTCTCCTTTTGTAGGGCTTTCAGACAGTGTTGCAAGTGTCATGCATAGTGAATGGAGAGAAGCTCGCTTAACAAACTATGAGGAAGTGAGAGAAATACTCTCAAGGACGTGGATGGAGAAGATGCTACATAGACATGTATTCAGCTGGACAATACAATGGAACACGTCTTGATGCGTTCTGACAAATATTAACATGCACTTTCAAGGTTGGCACCTAGTAGTCACTCATTTTTCTACACCATGGAATAAAATGTCTAAATAGAAGAACTCTCAGTTATATATTCATGAATATTCTATCTTGTGTTTCGTGTGTCCATCTATCTCAAAAGACTTTTTAGGCTTTTTTTAAAAAATAATTTTAAATTTGCAGGAAATTGGTGCAGAGAATTCCCTCAGAGTTTCTGCCCCAAACTTCTCCGTATGTTAACAAGTTTATCTATCAAATCACCAACACATTTACCTTGATGTCATTAATTTACCTTATTTACTTCTCAAATCACCAAAAAGATGTAACAATTAGTTAAATGTCTATTATTTGGGGCATTTTAGCAGGCAGCGGGGTGGGTCATAAATAAATGAAAGCCTAGGCCTTGCCTTCAAATATCACCTGGACTGTGATCTTGTTTTAGGAGCCCAAGGGCTCTCAGAGTCCTGGGGAATGGAGGACCCCTCGGGGCCATGAAAGTCCATTCAGTTTTAAGGGAGAAGGTGGTGTTTGTCAAGGTTAAGATCTGGGATGGGGCAGGAAAGACACCAGGAACATTGAACGATAAGGAGCAAGAAAGCCCAGTGCATCTCTGGGGGCAGCAGGAGGTGGGGTGGGTGGGCCCAGGCTGGGACTGTCCACTCCTCCAGGACAGAGGACATGGGCCTGGAAGGCATGACCCTTAAGCCCCGAGGAGGTGGGACTAGCTCTGAGGGCGGGTGTGCTGGAGCAGAGGCATCGAGGAGGGACATTTGGTGACAAAACGGAGCAGGTGCTGGGGGCCTGAGACAGGGGTGGGGGCGTGTTGGGCAGGACTGCAGCCCTCACCTAAGTCTCAAGGACCTGTTAGACCCCCCGCCTGAAGACTCTAAAAAGCATAAGTAGCTGAACGATCGTAGGCTGAAATTCTCTTCCTTCCTTCCTGTCTTCTCGGTCCCCCGCCACCCCGAACGAGCGACCCCTGAGACATTCGAGGAACGTGAAGTGACGTGGACGGCCCAGGTCCTCCAGACCCGCTCACAGCCGGGCAACAGCGCTGAGTTGCGCCCTCGGGGGTGCAGAGCTGAGCCCAGCCTGGCCGGCCCAGTGCCTCCCGCACCATGGAGGGGGCTTCTGCCCCCAGGCCTGTCCCCATTCTGCCTCTTCACTCCTAGCCCAAGGCGGGGGAAGGCCATCGCTGCAGAAGGGCCGGCCCAGGGCCTTCGGCTTCACTGTCATTTGATGTGGCTTCCCATCACACTACATGGAGAAAGGGGCCCGGGCTCGGGGTCCCAAAGGAGGCCTCTCTCTGAGCGAGGCGATATCTGCCACTTCGATGTGTCTCATCCGTGCCCAGGGGCCAGCAAGTGCCTCAGTGAAAGGCAAGCTTGGAGCTGAGCCCAGGATGGGGGGTGGGAGGTGGGCATGGGATCTGTCCAGCCATGGGGGGGCCTGTGCAGGGGAGGGGCCTCAACAGAAGCCCTCCACCCCAATCTCTCCTTTGCTCAAGCTCTCCTTGGATTAATCACTCCTCCCCAAACGCGCACTGCTGCGGGGCCGTCACACTGAACAGTCCTTGGGGAGGGAAGCCTTTGTTGTGGCCGCACCTGTAAGCGGGGTGAGTCACGGGCACTTGGGGACAAGTGAGGTGGGCAGTGACCTCGAGGAGAAAGGCCTAGAGGGGCGCACCCCAGAATTTACTGCGCTTTCTCTCTAAATGGGAGGATCATGGAAGGTTTTTATTTTCTTATTTCTGTCCAGTGAAGCATTTCTCATTTTCTGTAAAGATTTTAACTTTTCTATTGAGAGATAAAAAGGAGTTTAATGACTATGGTAAAATCCTTTCAGGAAAATGGGAAGTAATACATGACAAAACCAGGGAGGTGTTTGTATCGTTTGCCTAGTGATTTTTTCCAGGTGATTTATCCCAAAGAAATGATTTAACAGAAGCAAAATTGCATGCGTGTGTGTATGTGTGTGTATCGTGTGTGAGTGTGTCTCTGTCAGGGTAGGTGGGTGTGCATCTTTCTCTGTGCATGCAGGTGTGTGTAGGTGGGTGTGCATGTCTGTGCATGTGTGTGTGTGCGTCTGTGCAAATGTGTGTGTGTGTGCAGGCGTCTCTGTGCATGCATGCACGTGTGTGTGTGCAAGTGTGTTTCTGTGTGTGTTGTGTGTGGTGTGAGTGGTACATGTATGTGTGCACAAGCGTGTGTGTGTGTGCAGATGTGCGAGTGTGTGCATGTGTGTGTGTGCATGTGTGCTTCCTGCTTGCCCTTCAAGAGTCAGCTTGGACTCGTGCGAAGTGCTAGGCTAGAGGTGCTTCCAGCACAGGTGTCCCCCGCCGTGGGCACCAGCAGCTGTGAGGATCACGGCACGATTCTCACAAGGACACGGAGGCTGCTGCTGTGACCCCGACCAAACATGGAGGTCGACCAGCTTGCACATGGATGAGGGCTTGAAGGGGCCAGGCAGAAATGAGTGTTGAGGGAAACGAGGGCTTCCTGCTCACTGCCCCCCGAGGGACCATCCTAAACGTCGCAGTGGAGGGCACCAGGTGACCTTTGCCCCCCACCCCGTCTTCACTGCCAGTGCCTGAGTGGCCTCAGGTAAGTCCTCTGCCCCCTGCCCCCCGGTTTCCTCACCGACTGAGCGGGCATGACTACACGGGTGGCATCGTCCTGCCCAGCTCCTGGGGCATCTGAGGACAGGGCTTCTCTGCGCTGGACGTGGGCGCCCTTGGAACACAAAGGCTGGAGCGGGGGTGCTGCCCGCTCCCCCAAATTAAGATGCAGTTACTTGGGGCAGCTGTGAATTCTCCAACTGCCTTTTCGGCCAGAACCCAGCAACCCAGGGCCAGAGGAGAGCCAGCGATGGCTCCCTCTGCACTCCCAGGGAGACCCAGGGAAGATGGATGAGCCGGGGGTGGGGGTTGTGGCCACAGTGAGATCTCCTAACTGAACCAGCTCCCCCGCGCTGCCCCTAAGCATGGCCACCCCTCAGGGGGTGTCCGGGAACCTGTCCCATGGGGTGGGCTGTGCACGGGTCCCGACGTCATGTCTGGTACCTGAGCACTCGGTCGGAGGCCTGGTTGGACTTGGACACGTCACAGCTCTGGTGCTTTTCCTGGGCCTTTGCCAGTTTCTCTGCTGCAGCAATAGGGCATCCGGAAAGGCTGCAAAGACAGGGGATCTAAGAGTCTTCCATAGTGCCCCCTCATTGACCCCATCACCTCCTCCCGCCCTCCCTCTGGCAGCATCAGGCTCCCGAACCTCAGGGATGGAGTGAACCCGGAAGGGGCTTCGCATGTCTGCCTTCCACCTCCAGCAGACATGCTGATGGCCGTGTCACATGAGCGAACGCACGGCCCCTTTCAAGGATGACAAAACAGAGGCAGAATCATTCAAGGGACACAGAATCTTAGACACGGCGTCCGCTCCAGGATGCTCGCTGGGGAATTTACCATTGGGTAGGATGGGTTTCTGAAAACCCCGAGTGCAGGGCTCTCTGGCATTTGCTGACCTCAGCACGGTGGACACAGGCTGACCAGCCTGGCTGTGTGCTCCCCGGAAAGAGACCCAGAAGGGGGAGGAAGGCAGAATGATCTCGAGGCTCCTGTAAAATGTTTTCTGAACCTAAATATTTACAGGAAGAGACAGCAGTGTGCTCTTCTGTGTTTGAGCTGGTTTTTTGTGAAACCCTGGTGTCTGCGTGTGCATCTCCGCTCAGAGAGCAGAGGCTCCGTCCGCAAACACAGAGAGTCTGGAATCGGTGTGATTTTGCAGTGGATTTACAGAGGAGCTGATGCTGTGGGCCCTGTAATCAGAGATCAGGGGGCTGATCCAGCCATCACATCACAGTCCTCCAGAGGACGCCCGGGAACATCTTCGAGGGGTACAAGTTTGTGACCTCATTCATTATAAATTTAGCACAAGGAGCCAAGTTTACCAGACAAGCAACAATGAAAATGAAACTTATAACAGCTTCCTCCACTTAGATACAACTTTATGCAACTTTGTGAAGCTGAAAGGATAGGCAGCACAAAAACAATTTGACAGAATCACTCTTCGGCTTTTGGATAAAAAGGACCTGACGGGAACTGAATACTAGAAGTCACCCAGCAGAAGCCGGGACAAGGCGTGAGAGGATGGGGCTTGTCCCGAGCAGAGTGCGGTCTGCAGCTGCAGCCCAGGAAGCCCTGTCTCCTCGGCCCCCGCTCCCGGCCTGTCCCCTCACCAGCATCTTTGCACACCTGCTGGCAGCTGGTGACACCCACACGGGTGACCGGTGTGTTGGCAGGGGTCACGGGGCGGCTGAGTGAGGCCGCACTGTGCTCGGTCTGGGGTCTCTAGCTGCCATCCCGTCTGATGAGGACAGGGGGGGACCTCCCGACCCCCGGAAGCTAAGGGAGCAGTTCCTGCCTTCCTTGGAGTCGCTGCAGATGGTTATGGTTCCATCCAGGGTCTGACCTCAAGGAGCACACTTCCCGGGGGACCGTCGCTCCATCACGAGCTGGTGAGATGCCTGCAGACTCAGGGTCTAAGCCCCGAGCTCTGCCGGGTGCCCCGGGCCAGCTCAGCTCCCCCCTCCTGATGGCAGGGCCCAGGCCCCCGTCCCGCGGGGCTGTGCCCCCTCCCGAGGGCACGGGGCGGGGCTGCCGGGGACCGGCTCCCCTGCAGCGAGAACGCAGGAGCTCTGCTTACCTTCTGTGCGAGTTCCTGTTGCTATTTACATGCCCTCGCCCCGTGCAGCCTGGAGTAGGACACTTGAGAACATTCTCATGCATGGCAAGAACTTGACAAGGAGAGGCAGAGAAAACAGCCCAGCGTTAAAACACAGAACGGTCCCAGGACAAGAATATGCAGTTGTTTCAACAAAGGCTGGGTTAGTTTACGACAGACAGTCCTACACACGTCTGAGATGGACATGGGCAGGGAGACACAGGTAGGAAGAAGGGGAGGTGATCTCCACCTGACTCTGACCGGCATGCAAAGCGGGGTGCGCTGGGCGGGAGTGGGGGCTCGGGCGGTGGGAGCCCTGGGCTGCTCCCGCCGGGGGAGGAAACCCGGGTCCCCGTGTGGCCCCCAGGCGCAAGCTCGGGGCAGGGGTCAGCCGTGTCGCAGCACGCAGATCGGCAGCTTGTAAACACACCCCTGCCTTGGAAACACACGCGAGGGGGTCGTGGGTGAACAGGAACTCCCAAACCCGACTGCACGTACAGTGAGTTAGGTGATGACTTTTCATCTAGGAACTGGGTACCCTGTTCTTGATTATACAAGGAAGGAAGAGCTATGCGGGCCCAGGGGAGACCAGGAAGGAGGGGCAGGGCCTGGCCCAGAGAGCAGAGAAGGCTGTGCTGTCTGGAGAGCCAGCCTGAGCCTCCCCCAGGAGGTCACGGCCCTGGACTGTTGCCTGTCCATTCCTTGCTGGTCCTCACTGACGGATCGCGGCCCTGGACTGTGGGGGCCGCCGGGGGTGAGCAGTGCCGTGACCGCCCCTCCCCAGCCCCCGCCTGGTGGTCCCTGACCTCCGGGGGACCGTGCAGTGTGCATGCAGACCCTCTGTGGCGAGGGTGCCCTGGCACCTGCCGAACACGGGCTGCCTGAACCCCGTATGTCACCGTTGCCTACAGTCCCTCTCATCTCAGGCACCCCCCCACTTCCCCGGAGCCCCTCCACGTCCCCCCGACGGGGCCCTGGGCCCCCGCGGCCCTGTCTGTCCTGGCGGTCCAGGCTCCATCCGTGTGGGAGCGGGCGTCGCCCTGCCCCCCGCCCCTGCTTTCTGACATTCCCTCCTTGGTTCGCTTCTTGGTCCTTCACTGATGCCCCATTACCTGCTCATCACCGCTCTCAACCTTCCCCGTGACACAGCTTCCTCTCCTCCCCTTTGAGACTGAACCTGTAGAGTGCTAAGTCTCCCTCGGAGACGGCACACACCTTTCGCTCCCGCCTGCGCAGTGGGCCACCCTCTCCTGCCAAGGCCTGCTCCGTCCTCTGCATCCGGCCTGCCCTGGGACGGGATCTGCGCTGCCCTGGGCCTGCAGGCCTCTCGGCTTCCTCCGGGGCTCAGTCTCCCTCTCAGGGGTCAGCTCCAGCCTCTCTCGGCAAACTCGCTGCTCTCTGCATCAGCTTCCGCCGACTTCTTTCTCAGACACGCCTGCACGTGTGGGCCTTTCAGAGAAACCGCCTGCTGCCCCGTCCTCTGCCCCTGGGGGGTCCCCGCTCCTGCGTGCCCTCCTCTGCCCCCTTCCTACAAGCCTGTGTCCAGACCTCCCAGGCTGGGCTCCTCTTCAGCCTCCTCTCCGAGCAGCTACATCCTGGTTTTACTGGCGCTGCGCAGAGGACCGCCCCCCTGTGTGTCTGACCTTGTCCAGGTGTCCTGGCTGGCCATCGGTCCGTGGGGAATGTTACACACAGCATCCAGCTTCAGCTGGAGAAGTCCAGGCCACCAGACTCTATTGGATGTGCCCTGTTCTGGATTCCCCACCTCGGTGATCGGGGGAGACTCGCCGTTGACCCTGGGAGGCTCCTGGGCGTCTTCTCAACCTCCCTGCCTTTCTCCTTCTCAGTCCTGTCCTGCCAGCCTGCCTCTGGAACCTTCCTTGGACCCGACCCTCAGGCACCACCTCCCGTCTGCCTGGGCTCCCACGTGGACCGTCACGAAAGCTCTTAGAGAACATCAAGGGTTCCCTCTCAGACAGGACGGCCCGAGCACCGCCCGCGTGAAGCCTGCGGTGGCCCTGGTCCTGAGGCCCGCAGCAGGGGCCGGGGCTCAGTGGTGAGGTGGGCACGTGGCGGACCCCCGCCGAGCCGGGCTGGGGGCTCCTGGACCGAAGCTGTGTCTCATGTCCCTCTCCGTGAGTCCTCTGTGTCTCTAACATGGTGTGCTGAAAGCTGGGGTACAGGCTACTTTACGGAATTCAACTGGACAGGAAAGTGGTTAGGGTGTGCTGGCCCAAAAAATGCTAACAAATCAAAAGTAGAAAAAGACACGCTTCTGTGGAGCGCTTTGACTCTTCATCATTTCCATGGCAAAGACTCCCGTAGGAGTCCGTCCTGTGGGTGTCCGAGAAAGTGAACGTGACCCCGGTTCAGAGCTGAGTCCTCGGCACGAGAAAAAGACCCAGCCAGGCGCGGCCTGACACGGGGTCAGACTGCAGAAGGGACTGCCTCAGACTGCTCTTGGGGAATGGGGAGTCGGGAGGATCGCTCAGCTGTGGGAATGGATGCTCTACTTTGATGTCTCAAAGGAACAGTGCATAGAGAAGCTCCCTGCCCTTCACGGGTTAGTGCTGGGTCCTACCGCCTTGTTTGTAGATGAGACGAGAGGCCCAGAGCGCAGGTCTCCTGCCCCATGACACACCTGGTCAGACTGAACCCCAACGCCAAGCCCAGGTCTCCATGGAGACAGCTGGGCTCAGGGCTGGGACAGAGGCGGGTTTGGGTCTGAGCTCTGTTCTCCGTTCAGAGGAGCTCAGAAAGCGCCGAGCATCCTCAGGGTGCCAGAAGCCGAGCCGATTCCCAGGGGGAGGAGGCGGCGCCGGGCCTTCCCGTTCCTCATCTGAAAACAGGGCCAATGCCCCTGTGGGTGTCCTGGGGATTGGATGAGTGCGAGCGGGTGCCCGACCCAGGGGTGCTGGGTGGAAGCGGCCAGGGTGAAGCGAGCTGCCTCTGCTCATGTAACACACGGGCGCGGCCTCTCTGCAATCCTCTGCGGCCGCAGCCCTGCGCCTTCGCTCGCAGGACGGTTCCGAGAGACACGGCCTCCCCGTCACCGGGGCCACCTGCAAGCCTGCAGCCACAGCAGCTTCTACCAACACGTCACCTGAAGACACTCGGCTCAACCTGTTCCCTAAGCTGCACCGCTTTCTCTGCTCCTCCAAAGCTGGCCGCTGTGATGGGGACGTCCCCGGAAGGGCCCCTCAACCACCAGCTGGCCACCACCGCTTCTCCAGCTGGGCGACGAGTGGTCCCCACTAGCAACCGCATCTTACAGGATGAGGGAACCCCCGCCACCTTAAGACACCAAATCAGGGGCCGACACAGTCATTTCGGAAAACGTGCCTTTTCCCTGAGCCATCGGTTCTAATTGTACCTTCATAGTTGGCACACTTCAAGTGTCGAGAAAAGATACGCAAAAAAGGTACATCATTTCAATTCTAAAAGAAATTTAGTTGTTTTCATAGATGGAGTGCATGTTCTTAGAACCTAACTAATTCAAACAGATTTTTAAGATCGAAACCCACTCGAGTTAAACCTCCTTAAGATTTTATCATGTAGAAATGTTGGGACAGTATGAAATAGATAAGTAGGATGTAGTTACACATAAGTACTGGTTCACGTGGATGGAGAAGCTCAGATAACTGGGCAAAAGCCACCTCGGAGTCCCTTTTCTTTGGGGGTCAGAGCCGGGGGGCGCGGGGTGGATGTCTCAGAGACTGTCTAGACTCGGTGCTGCAATCTGTGGGGAGGAAAGGAGTGAAGTGACTGGCGTGGGTCGCCACGAGCTCGAGATGAAGGCAGGACCAGGCCGTCTGCTCGGGGGCCAGAGGGGAGGCGACACTGATGTGGAGCTGGGGTCCGAGGTGGGTGTGCAGGGACCCCACTGAGGGGACGCTGCGGGGGTTGGGGGGGAGCCAGGGTCCTGGCCGAGCTGCCCCTCGGACAAGGACACGCCCGCGTCAGGCGGCGCTGACCGGAGATGGAATGACAGGTGAGGATGCAGAGACGAGGCACAGGTGTGTGCGCGCCAGGGCGTTGGTGAACACGGACTTACTTTCTGGAGGGACCCTATCTTTGTGCGGGCATCCGGACAGACTGCGGTGATGCGGATAAAGCCCGGTTACGTGGCCCGTTCCATCACACCCGGGGGTGGGGCACTTGCTCTCTTTCTTTTCTGCTCTCGAGGGATCTAAAAGTGATAACAGGTGTCAAGAGAATGAATTTTTTTTTTTCAACCAACTGAAGACAAATGTGATTATTTAACAATCTGAAGAGACCTTGATACATAAAGACATAAATAGGTGTCGGGGACACACTGTGACATCCTGGGTCGTTCTCTGGTTTCAGGTGATTTTTTTTTTTTTACCTTAAACGGTGTAATCATGAATCATGTTTTACTTTCGATGCTAAAGAAAAAAAAGGCTCTCCCTACCTGAACTCTTGATTAATTGTTTCCCGTGTGTTACATGATAAGTTGTTGCTCAAAGAAATCAACATAAATAATGATGAGACAGTGACCTTCTCAGAGAACAAGACATCTCCATAATCTTTCAGCAACTGCTTCGTGACATCCAACCAGGAAACATAACGCCTTTTAAGCACTCTGCAGCAGTTTCTTACTGAATTCTCTGATCGTATACGCCATTAGCTGCACAATTTTACTGGTACTGCAATGTCTTTTCTTGAAACACCGTTCTTAGGACACAAATTCAGTGCTTTTCTCAAGACAGACTGAACTCTTAGAAGGCACTGCAAGCAAATGACCGAAATGGCAGGACCCCACCTGACAGAGGTGACGGGCAATCAAAAATGTTTCAGAAGCTGCTGGAGCAATCGTTTGTTTTGATCTCTTCATCTGTGCTTGGAACCAGAGGAAGGCTTGGACAGCTGTGCGGGCATGCACCAAACTAAGAGGCAATGCTTCTAGGCAGCCTGCAGGCGCTGTGGTGCCCGATGGGGCGGAGCAGGGCTGACATTTGGTCAGAACTTGAATGCCAGATGCCAGAGTGCAGTGACATTGCTAACAAAATTAACCCTAGACCAGAAATGGCCACAGTTCATGAATGTGCAGAAAATAACCCCAGAACCTATTTCTAAGATAAAGCCCAGACCAAATAGTCATACCAGTGTGTGAAACACTATTTTTGAACCAGTTTTCAAAACGAGATGCACAGATGAACCATAGATGGTGACTACTAGAAGTTTGGCCCAGGGAAGCTACAGGTAACAGATCTTTCGGAAGTTAATGCTTTTGTATTGATACTGCATTAATTAGGCCAATAGTAATTTTTCTAGTAAAACATCTAGAAAACAGATGTTTTACTTTTGGAGAAGGATTCATTTTATATCAAGAAAGAGGACTGGTTTAAAAACTTTGGAACTTTTATATGATTTTTTTCTTAATCATTTATGCAAACTTGAAATAGACATAGGATTCACAGGAATATATATATACTTTTATGTTTGTATGAAAATACTTCCTTTTATTGTTTAGCTATCATTTTATTCTCTAAGATATAGCTTTCAGGTCTTGGAATCTCTTAAACCAGTGAGAGATATGTCTGAGATACAATGGTCAGCTACTTTCTGCCTTTATTTACAGATAATCAACTCTGAAGACAAATCTAAACCTATGCTTCTGTGACTTCAATTTCTAAATATCTTTAAGTTTGAGGTTCTCTGACAACCAAAAGGCTCAGCATTTTATTGCCTTTGAGTAACTTCGTAATAATAGTGGTATAACTGAATGTATGCAAATATAAAATAGTAAGTGCAAGTAACTGTTTCAAAGGAAAATATTATTTAAGATCATAAATTAGAGATATCATTTAAAATTGTAAACTATATATAAATGACTTTTAAGGATAAAAACATAAGTTATAACTATTAGGAATCATTAAGTGACTCTTTTCCATGAGTTTTTACAGTTTCCTAACAAATTATACTATGTCACGATCTTGAGTGTTCTGAAGCTCAGTGCAGCTCTGTGCGAACACAGTGGCTCCGGCCACTGCAGGTTTGGAGACGCCAGGGTGTACTCTCCTCTGGATGCCTGTGTCCTGGGGGCGGGTGGTCACCTCTGCCTTTGCCAACACCCCCACCTCCTTGGTTTCTCCCTTCTCCAACCCCAATTCATCTTGAAAGCAAATCTTTGAGCAACTGCAAAACAACCAAGCAAGCAAAACAGGCCAACAATCTACCCAAAAACCTTGCAACCACATCCAGAAACACCTGAGTGCTGGATCTAGCCCTTCCCTTCCTCCTGTAGACCCTTTGGAGGAGAAGGTGGAAAAAGTTTTGTGATGAACTTCTTTTGTTTTAGCTCAAGCTTTTGGAAAGGTTACTCACTTGGAAAAGATTGTGTATGGATGAGAATCGGTATGAGTGTTCTCTCCACGTTTAATAAAGCAGCAGAGAAGCTGACCATAGATTGCTGATACACACTTGGCCAAGCCTGCCAGGCTCCTCTGTCCGTGGGATCTCCCAGGCGAGAATACTGGAGTGGGCAGACAGTCCCTCCTTAGGGGGTCTTCCTGACCCGGGGATAGAATCAGGTCCCCTGCACTGTGGGCAGACTCTTTACTCTCTGAGCCACCGGGGAAGCCCAAGAGGCAGACAGCTTTTTAAAAATAGGAGACCATTCATCACTCTCCCCACATTGGTGCCCTTCCTTGGCTTTATTCATTTGGTTCTGCATAGAACTATGACATCTTCAAAAGAAATTTGGGAGCAACATGGAACATACTGACAGAAAATGGAGCTGGGCTTTGGCCAGAGGGGGAGGATGTGGAAAACCTGGGGAGAGGCGGAAGTCATCAGGAAAGTCCAATCCCCAACCTGCCCCCCTTTCAGGGAAGAAGCGCATCTCCGTTTTGGGATTTTACTGTTTGTTTCCATTCTGTCCCTGTTTATTTAGGGGAAACAAGTGATCTGAACTCCACTTCTTCCCAAAAACAACACAGAACAACAACAATAACAAAACAAAGTGAGTGAAAATCTACAGCAAGTGCTGGGTTGAAAGAAACCGCAGAAACCAACGCAGGCCCAGGAACCCCGGGCGTGCATGAGCCTGCGTGGTTGCCTTCTCAACCAGACTCAGGCCTGAAACACACTCTTCAGAAAGCCGTTGTGTCTGTCCCCCGAGCCAGTCCACAGGGAAGGACACTGTTTCCTCCTAAGTGTTCTGTTTCTGTGTGTGTGTTAAGTCGCTTCAGTCGTGTTTGACTCTGTGACCCCGTGGCCTGTAGACCACCGAGTTTCTCTGTCCAAGGGGTTCTCCAGGCGAGAACACTGGAGTGTGTTTCCAACCCAGGGGTCGAACGTTCGTCCCTTATGTCTCCTGTATCAGCATGTGAGTTCTTTACCACTAGTGCCACTTGGGATTCGCAGCTATCCAACTACGGATTTCTAAGAGACTGTGTTCAGTACAAACACACTCGCTGCACCTCCGGGTCTTGCAACACCCAAAGCAAGCCTGACGACCGCCTGAGCTCCATGTCATGGCCTTTACGAGAGGACCCCTCTTCATATCCTGCGCTTCACAGGGTCTGGCCTGCACCTGCCTAACTGAAACGGCCGTCAGCACCCAAGCACCTGGCACACGCAGGACCCAGCAGGCCTCTGGCTGAGGTCTGTCTCCAGCGGAGTTCGGTTAAAGCAAAGCCCAACGCGCCCCTGGGGGTGCATGCCCATCGAGAGGAGAATACACACCTGTGTCCCTGCAGAAGAACTGGGTTCTGATTGTGTGACATTGCCCTAGCAACTGATTTCCAAAGCAAAATCTGAACCTCATTATAAGGAAATGATATTCATAAGGAATAAGACAATACACAAGACAGAAGAACTTTCTGGTACAACTAGGGAAGAATTTAAGGAATCACCAATTTCATTCTTGAAGTTGCTTCTTTTCACTTGGTTCTGAAAGAGTCTTGAAACTGAAATATTCACAAGGTCCTACATGAGGTCAAATTATAATCCACTTCATACTGAAAGTGAACATGGCTGTTACCGGAAACATGAGGCTGACTGTTCAGGCTGGAAATATACATCTACACACATTAGGTGTAGCAACCATACATGTGTATGGCTAAATTTATAGACCTATGCAGACAGTCCACAGCTGGAAACCTGGTTGGAGCTATGACAGAGGATGGTTTTGAGTGTCTCCTGATAAAGCAAGCACCACGACTGTTTCCACGGTGGCTGGGAACAGTGAGGGGTGGGTACCCTAAAAGGACGACTATTGGTCTCAGCTGGGGACGCGCGGCTCCCGTCACTAAGCGACTACCTTAAGGTAAGGAATGAGGGGTCATTGCCCTCTCCAGATGTTCGTGGTCATTCTGCTGCTACTGTGCAGTCTCCAGCAGGGATGTTTGCCAGGGGCGAGGTTTCATCAATAACTGTCATTTGATGATAATTTCATAAATCAAGGACTTCCCTGGTGGCTCAGATGGTCAAGCATCTGCTTACAAGGTGGGAGACCCAGCTTCAAACTCTGGGTTGGGAAGATCTCCTGGAGAAGGCAATGGCAGCCCACCCCAGTACTCTTGCCTGGAAAATCCCATGGATGGAGGAGCCTGGTAGGCTACAGTCCATGGGGTCGCAAAGAGTCAGACATGACTGAACAACTTCACTTTCACTTTCATAAATCAGGACGCCACCTACTCAATGAAATTTGAAATGCATGCTTCCCCCCCCCCCCCACCCTTGGCTAATTGCCACATAAACCCTTGCCACTCCACACGGACTGTGGCTCCTCTGGGAGAAAACAGACTGATCCTAACATTCTCTATCACGTGATGGGCGTGTGCTCTCACCCTGGATCTCCAAGACATGCGTCTTCCCCTGAAATATCATGTTATTAAGCTGCGTGGTGCACTTCTCATACAGATATTTTATTTGCTCTTCGGAGACATAGCCATAAGGCATAATTCTGGAATCACCTGCAAGAAGCATGCACTGGTGATGCAACGCAGTGAGATGCCTCCTCGAGCGGCAGCCTACGCCTGACAGCTTTTGCCCTAGCCCCCGCTTCCATAAGGCCACTTACGTTAGGTAGAAATATTACCTTTACCATAGTATGGCTTTTTGACATGGCTGTCCGCGGACTTGGGCTTCCTCTCCTCCCCGGGGAGCGGCCGCGGGGACTGGTCCTCGAAGGACCGCAGACTGTCCCTCCGGCCTGCCTCCAGCGCCATCTTCTCCCTCATGGCCTTGGCCCTCTCGGTCTCCAGGGCGATGGCTTTCTCCAGGAGGGTCAGGTTGCCCTTGGTCATGTCAAACACCTCCTCCGACCGGTCGGAGGTCACGGAGGCGGCGTCCTCGTCGCGCTCGCGGTACCCGCCGTCCTCCTTGGCACAGCTGGAAAACGTTCTGGGCCGGGGGCTCAGCTGCTCCTCCAGCCGCATCAGGTTCACCATGTCCGAGTAGCTGCGGTCCGGCGTCCGGCCCGGGAAGTCGTCTTCCGGGCGGCCGTGCGCGCGCGGGCCGGCGCCGGGCGGCGGCGGCCGCTCCTGCGGGCTGCCTTCGCTCAGCTTGCGCGCCAGGTCGAAGCACTGGTTGCGCAGACACTCCAGGCTGCTCAGACACACCTCCTCATCGCTCTCCTCCACCAGCTTGTCCGCCAGCCCGTTGTTGGCCGGCTTGCCCAGCACCCCGTAGCTCAAGGTCCGGCCGTCGGGCGGCGCCGGCGCGTCCGCGTAGGCGCGGTCGCCGGGGTGGTCCCCCAGCACGGCGCCGTGGCCCTGGGCCAGCAGCTTCAGCGAGTCCACCGTCTCCCTGACCACGTCGCTGTCGAGGTCCAGGCTGAGCTCGCCCTTGCGGCCGGGCGCCTCCGTCTTGTCGCCGTCGTCCTCCAGGCTGTGGGACGTGCTGCTGTTCATCTCGGACTCGGTGCGCGCGCGGTACGCCGCGTCCTCCGCGATCTTGCCGAGGTTCAGCAGCGACTTGGCCACCAGCTCGTCGTAGTTGTCGTACTCCTCGTCGTTGTTGTCGTCCTTCTCCGCGTCCTGCAGCGCGCGCGCGCCGTGACAGCCCAGCTGGCGCTCTTCTGCAGAGAGAGCAGACACAAGGACACACGAGAAAACAAGAGGAAAGTGGCTACAACGGTGGCTGCGGCAGCGCGGGGGGCCAGCTCGGCGCGGCCGCCGGGAACTGGAGACCCCTGCAGGTCCGCAGGCGGAAGGGGCGCGTGTGCAGGGCCCAGGGGGCGGTGGAAGACACCTGCTGCAGACTAGGAACCCCCGGAACTGGCAAGGGTGAGGGTGGTCTTGGTGGCGGTGTTTAGTTGCTAAGTGGTGACCCCCAGGACTGCAGCCCGCCAGACTCGTAGTCCATGGGATTCTCCAGGCAAGAACACTGGAGTGGGTTGCCGTTTCCTCCTCCAGGGGATCTTCCTGACTCAGGGATCAAGTCCCCATCTCCTGCCTTGGCAGGTGGGTTCTCTACCACTGAGCCACCTGGGAAGCCTAAATATAATTTTAAAATATCACTTTTTCATTACTTCTAAATTTTAAGCATTGCTTTTAAAAGTGAATTTCTTTATTTACTGCCCGACCACGTGCATAATAATGATATCCATTATATGACTAGGCTTTCTAAGAGTTCTGTCAACTTGTTGCCAACTTGTAAGCAGATGTTCACAGCAATTTCATTTAAATTGCTTTTGCAGAGATGCTTGGGCAGCACAGAAGAAAGCCCAAGGTTCTGGTGGGTCCTCCCGGGATGCCGACAGCCCGACATTGGTGGGTCCTCCCTGAGATGCCGACATCCTGACATTGGTGGGTTCTGCGCCGACTTGGACCCTGGGCAGCCAGTACCAGGAGCACATGCTGGGGCTGAGACTGGCTTTGAATTTTCTACCTTAGAGCCCGTTTATCAAGATACGCTGTGAAGCAATGAGCCCCAGCAAAACTGAGAAGCAACTCTGACTCGCTGTATCTCAGTGGGCTGGAGAGGGTGGAGGGGGAGAAGCGCGCAGTGGCCAGACGCCCATTAAAAGCAGGAGTGCGCTGAGGTGGCGCCACCATAACACACAGTCCCACGCCTGCTGCAGTCATCCTGAACCTCGGCAAAGCCGTGGTGAGCTGGCACTCACACCGTGCGGATGTGTCATGGGAGGTGGCACCACCATAACACACAGTCCCACACCTGCTGCAGTCATCCTGCGCCTCGGCAAAGCCGTGGTGAGCTGGCACATACACCGTGTGGATGTGTCATGGGAGGTGGCCCACCATAACACACAGTCCCACGCCTGCTGAAGTCATCCTGCACCTCGGCAAAGCCGTGGTGAGCTGGCACATACACCGTGTGGATGTGTCATGGGAGATGGCCCACCATAACACACAGTCCCACGCCTGCTGCAGTCATCCTGCACCTCGGCAAAGCCGTGGTGAGCTGGCACTCACACCGTGCGGATGTGTCATGGGAGGTGGCACCACCATAACACACAGTCCCACACCTGCTGCAGTCATCCTGCGCCTCGGCAAAGCCGTGGTGAGCTGGCACATACACCGTGTGGATGTGTCATGGGAGGTGGCCCACCATAACACACAGTCCCACGCCTGCTGAAGTCATCCTGCACCTCGGCAAAGCCGTGGTGAGCTGGCACATACACCGTGTGGATGTGTCATGGGAGATGGCCCACCATAACACACAGTCCCACGCCTGCTGCAGTCATCCTGCACCTCGGCAAAGCCGTGGTGAGCTGGCACATACACCGTGTGGATGTGTCATGGGAGGTGGCACCACCATAACACACAGTCCCACGCCTGCTGCAGTCATCCTGCACCTCGGCAAAGCCGTGGTGAGCTGGCACATACACCGTGTGGATGTGTCATGGGAGGTGGCCCACCATAACACACAGTCCCACGCCTGCTGCAGTCATCCTGCACCTCGGCAAAGCCGTGGTGAGCTGGCACATACACCGTGTGGATGTGTCATGGGAGGTGGCCCACCATAACACACAATCCCACACCTGCTGCAGTCATCCTGCACCTCGGCAAAGCCGTGGTGAGCTGGCACATACACCGTGTGGATGTGTCATGGGAGGTGGCGCCACCATAACACACAGTCCCACGCCTGCTGCAGTCATCCTGCACCTCGGCAAAGCCGTGGTGAGCTGGCACATACACCGTGTGGATGTGTCATGGGAGGTGGCGCCACCATAACACACATTCCCACACCTGCTGCAGTCATCCTGCGCCTCGGCAAAGCCGTGGTGAGCTGGCACACACACCGTGCAGATGTGTCATGGGAGGTGGCAGATACAATGTGTGGATAAGTGTTGTGTCCAATCTCAAAAAAATTTGGGAATACTCATTTTAAAAAGGACCATGTTAAAAATTACCCTAACCCTTATATTCAATCACCACTTGATGGACCTGAGTTTGAGCAAGATCAGGGAGTTGGTGATGGACAGGGAAGCCTGGTGTGCTGCAGTCCATGGGGTCTCAAAGAGTCGGACATGACTGAGCGACTGAACTGAACTGAACCCCTGTATTTCATCTGGAACATATTCTAACTCTAAAGGAATATTTATAGAGTATGCATCGTTTCCCCTCATGCTATGCGATCACTACCATGTATATTGGAAAATATAGATGATACTAAATGGATTTGCAAATGGATTCCCCCGCCCACTTTAGGTTGGATTTGGTTAACTGCCTGCCAGTTTCAAATATACTCCTTCTTTCTATGATTAAACAAACCAGAGTAAGAAGAATTTTTAAAGTGTATTAGTGAGGAAATGAGGCATATTGATTGGTAGAAGATACTGGGTGACTCAGAGCTGAGTCAGGGGGCCCAAGTGTTTTCTTTATGGATTCTGTGCTGTCTCCTTAGAAAAGGTTTTTGTTGGTGAACTGGGTTGGACATCAACACATCAATAACAGAAAACAACATCCTTGCCGGCCCACACGTGGAACGAACACATTTTTGAAATTTAACATCTCTCTAAACATCAGCAGATCAAATCTGTCCTATATTAGTCAGAGCATCATTAATTGTTTGAAATAAATTTTGTTGCTCCTTTGGATAATTTCTAGGCATCTATAGTCTTAGAATAAGGATACATGTTTTCCCAAAGAGCAGCAAAAGGAAAACAAAACCAGTGAACACATCAGAAATACCGAGGAGGTGTTCACCTGACAGTACATCACTCACGGCCAGGGTGAGGCTCTCAAAACCGGAAGGCCACCCTCTGTGTCCTCGAGGCTGCCGGACCCCAGCCATGAGCATGGGGATGGCAGAAGAGACAACTCCAGCCGCGGAAAATCCTCGTGGGTAACGGACTTTCTCAAGTTATCAGTATTTAACTTTCAAAACACATGTGAGACAAAGTCAAGCCTTAATGATGTGGACGGATGGAGGGGGTCCATCAGGAAACTGCCAGCAAGAGGTTTGAAGCCTCAGCCTCCAGAATTCAAAATCATTCACGGCGAACTTTCAGAATTCCGTCTCTGATTTTGTTCTTTTGGATAGTTTACCCTTCTAGTTATGTTTTCGCTGAGCCTCATGATGAAAAGGACCACACATGGAAGTAGGTGGTGGGAAATGGTCCAGAAGTCTCTGGGCCAGCTAGGCATTAATAACGCGGTACCGATGGTCCACAAACTGAATTTTCAATCCAAAGAGATTCGGGAGTCAGTGGGGGTAGTTCTTCACGTGATGAATGACCCCAGAAACAGAATGTGTTTGTGATGAGAAAAGATGTTTTACCAAAAAATTATTTTAAAGTTCAGGTCCACATTCTAAACAAAAGAGCGCAGCCACCCAGAGGTTTAAGAAGGCCCCGGCATCTCTGCGGCCTTCCTATCTGGTGGAGTCTCTTCTCTAGCAGAGCACGGGGAGGAGGACAGTGCTGGGGGCAGCCTTGGGCTCGCCTTTGAGAGGGGCTCCCAGGGTGTCCACGCCTCTGGAAACTGGAGGAGAGCTGGTCCAGCCACTCCCAGGGGAGGGCCCTGCGCCCAGGAGGCGCACGTGGTTCAGGAGCGCAGCCCACGGGGTCTCTGCAGCTTCCTCACTGAGGACACCGGGATTTTTGTCGGGATTCTCTGCGTCTTTTGGATTCCAATGTGAGCTTTGTGAAATGTTGTAGGTCTGAATTTTCTCTCTTGAATCAGATTGTTATAAACAATTTATGCTCAAGGCTACAAATAGAAAACAGCAACAAAGAGTTCTCTAAAAAATGGAGCCATGTAGGAAAATTTTTCTTCTCCATCCTCATAACCAGAATTTGATGTGGTTAGAACTCTGTGGCTTATAATCTTATAAAACCAAGTGCAGACTTCAATGAGCATTTTGTCTCCAAAGGTTAGTCTGAGACCCACCTTTTGATTCTTTCAGTGTCTAGAATCAAAAGGTAGGTTGCTGTTGTTCTTTTCAGATGTTAAAATCTCTCAAATAGACAACAGATTAAGACAAAAATGTAGAACAGGAAAAAGAGACACTTCTTCACAGTGGAAATTCTCTAGGTCTGCCAGGTCATAGAAGACGTGGTCTAAGAGTCCACCCTCCATGGGCTGCAAATCACAAAAGGCCAGTTTCCTCTGGCCCTTCATGTAGGAAAGGTCACTCCTGGGGTCACCCTTCCTCTGCTGGTGAGAAGGGCGGAGGCTGGGAAGAGCGGCCAGAGGCCACGTGGACCAGAGGCCCACTGACCTCACTGAGGGCCCCCAGCTCCCCTACTGTACTGAGCACCCAGGGGGAGCCCGGGACTTCATGGGGCAGGGTGGACACTGAGGTCTCTTTTGAAGAGTGGAAGGGCCCTCTCCTGGGTGTCCCAGGTTCCTTAGTGCAAATTCTGAGAACTCGGGGTGGGTTCTCGATGGGCAGAGCAATAAATCGGCCTCTGAGAGCTGGCCTGGGGCCCCCTCGGCCTCTCCCCCAGAATCCACTGCTTCTTATTTTCTTCTTAGATGCAGACATACAACTTCTTTCTTCTTCTTCCTCCGAACAATAGGCATTTCTTCACCATCACCAGCCCTGTGCGATCCCAGAGCGTCCAGTGCTGGCTATACATTTCCTAGCACAGGTCAGACCTGCCCCAGG